GAACTGCGAACAAGTGCCGAAGCACCATCAGTGTGTAATAAGAGAATAATCGTCTGTTCCCACAACAAGTGATAACAGACAAATTTATTGCACATTCATTTAAAAATGATTTCTTTCTTACCTTTCATATCTTTTGGTTTTGCCTTCTATGTTTTAAATTCATAATATTACTTGACGAAGTTAGTCGGGTGTTTTCGCAACGCAGATTGACACTGTGCTTGGTGATGGTATGAAGAGCGGAACGAATGTCTATGGGTACAATAATTTCGGCCAATCGATTATTGGCCAAATTTCTGGAAGGGATACTACAGACTAAATTCGAACATGGTTTAATACTCCATTCTAGCGTCATTGTATTGCTTCTGCAATGCAGACAAATGAACTTCGTTGAGAAGGAATTTGTACGTTCGAATTCATGTACAAATGACTTGTGCGAGATCGGTAGCTGACTCGATTGAGGTAAGACGATCTTGACAAGCTGGAGCAGACAAATAGTGTGAAGTTTGTCATGGTAAGCACTGATTACAAATTCTATGCGTGAGACTACTTAAAGCAAGCGTGTGACAGCTATTGACAAATAGAAAAGGAAAAAAATCTTCAAAGTTCGAAGAGGTGATCGAATAACACTCCAACTCTTTGAAAAGAACTAAAACAATAAAAATGAATAATAAATCAAGATGTTTTCATTCTCTTGTTCATACGATATGATCGATCGATTCAAACTGACCTTGATTTTCTTTTCGTTGAATCTCTTCTGTTGCCTTATTGCTCATGTCTCGAATAAATTCGTCAATGATACGTTTAACGTTATGATCGTATGAGAGAAGGTCCATGGTGACAAATGCAATGTGATTGGGCACACTAATAAGTATCGGATAAGCATTCTCATCAGCTTCTTTCAAATATATGTTGAGAATACGTTCGATTTACCAATATCGAGCCCTTTATGGATCTTACACAGATCAGCATTTATATCTCAATGAATCTGATCGACTGTTAATGAGTGCAGATGAACAATTATATCCAACGAATAGCACTACTTAAATTCGCCGTGTGCAAGAAACATAGCGGCTTCTCGATTCTGTATTTGTTAGAATTTCAGAGCAAGGTCAGGATTACGCTTACTTGAGTTGGCCGTTTGGATACTTGTACAATATAACAATGACAAAATTTGGTTTATCTAAAACGTAGCACTATGGAGGAAAAATTCAGTTTTGTTGAAGTAATATCGTGCTTTCTGCTGGAAATAAACATGTGGTTTATGGTCACAAGAAAATGCGTGTGATTATTTATGGTTTTAATAAAACTTAGAACAGTTTGATAAAATTATTATGGAAAAGTCAAGCTAATTTTTCTGCTTCTAAATATGCATAGCATAATCTCCGATTTAGGAGCTGTTTTTGAATATGAAGAAAAATGCATTATGAAAGACGCTAGTTATCTAAAAATCTCAGGAATTGTTTAATACAGGAAATAAACAACTATAGATGCCAAATCTGAATGGCTGGTGTGAAATTTGGCGAAAGTCCCAAATGAACATTCTAATTTTCATTGTAATCAAAAATCTACCGCTATTTTGTCATGTGGCTAGAGACTAATAATGCAAGACTCAAAAAAACGTAGTGTGTTATCTCCCATCTTGTAAAGAAAAACTAATGTTCTTTGCTATTCATGTTTGTTGAACTTACCTGGTCTAACTTTTAAATATAGAAAAAGAAAAAAAGAACAACGGCCACATGCATAGAACGGAAATAGTTAACCAGAGAATCACTGTTGTGTCATCAATCGACAACAGCATAACGTGATCTCAACAATGTTCTCGTGCATTCAAAATAGGTTTCTAAGCTTCCAAGATTGTGAACTTCATTGTAAAATACAATTTGAACTATCTCGTAATAAAACTGCGTACATGATAAAATATCACCCAAAATCCGTTGATTATCTGCGGCACTTTAGAAAGTCGATAACATAGATATATATCTTGTTTATAAGAGAAATAAATGCACGGTGCATGATATTTGTATCTCACTAAGGTTCAGAATGCTAATGCGTATTTCGAGAGTCATCGATGAGAGAGAGGCTCATATGCGTGTCTGCTGGTCGACTAAATCGTGGAATATATATATATATATATAGCGAGCGATTTGATGCTCTTCCATTCTATAGATGTATGACATCTCTGTGTAAAGACATAGCTTTTGCTGATCATCTCAGCTCGAATTCACTGTTTGTGTGTTAGGCCCTCTTTTAACGATGCAAAGAATCGGAGACATTAAAGTTGATTTACATGAGCTTGAACCACTATGATACCGTAGTGCGATTGAGCATATATAAACAGATTGAGAGAGACCTTAACACCTCGCTGTTTGGCATTCTGGCAATTGCTATTAGTTGTTGAAAGTTATTCGTATTAAGTCTCACTATTTTCCTCATTCGTCGAAGAATTGTGAAAGCTAAATAGTTTGACTTGAATATGTTGTGCTTACAGTCTCCTCTGAATGAGTTGACGAATCGAAAACAACTTCAGCATCCTCAGTACGTCTCATGCACAAAACAAACCGCAATAATTACAAAGAAAAACTTATGATGTTCCATTGTTGTCACTGAACTTGAGCGAAACAAACTCATCAACATAAGACAAGTATTCCAACTGATTATAGAAAAATGGCACAAATGCAGTTGAAGAACATGTTGACTGAAATGAGACTTGCTGCTCTAGCTACAATTAAACTTGATGTCTAGTGCGTGTTGCACAAGGCAAATCTGTATAAAAAAGAATGTGATGTGGCCCAATGTCAATGTTGACGAACAATGATGATGCAGAAAATGTGGAGTTGGCATTCGGTAATAATTGAGACGCTGATGGACCAAAAATGTAATTGTCATGGATGTTGAAGCCGACAAAGAAAAAGTACCAATAGTCTATCACAAGCGTAAATCAGTAATCCATGCTTCGAAGACTGATGAACGTAAGTAAAGTCACAAGAAGCTTATAGTGAGTAAGATGTACACTTCATTTTTCAGATCAGTGAAAGAGTAGATAATCGCTAGGCGCAGTGGAATGATAGAGGCCGAAACCAAAAGACAGAACTGAAATGAAGATGATGACGAGATCAATAGAGTTTATCTTAATCCGAAGACAGACTCATGTATCGACAAATATTTGACAATTTTCGAACTTGTGCTTGCCATCACTCTGTAGTATCAGCTGTTTGGTATTCATTCATCCAAAGTGCACTCTGTACTTGAGTACAAATACAATATGTCTAAAACCTTTTCACAACTTCGTCAAGAATTGATCGCGTGCATCGATATTGTCGTTTGATTGTTAGACTGTTTCAGACACCTTTACTTGCATCCCTATCAGGGTGTGGGTGTGGATATGGACTCTCTTCTTGCAAACCAACAGTGACACCCACAACCACACCTATGCCCACGCGTTTCCATGCTGCTAGTTTTTTTTTCGGAGAATGCATGTTGGAAATTGAGAAGATTTTACAGAAAACACAACGAAAGGTCATTGTATACAGCCGATTCATACAGGAATCAATGACCTGAAACTGATACCCTTCATTCGAGTTCATATATTATTCATTGATTGACTCTATTGTAGTATTTTGTACAGCGTAAAGACGAAGAGATGGCACTCGTTCAGAGGTTGGATCGACCCTCCCAAAGCTTTAAATCCGTCTTTCGAAAGACAAAATCTGATAAAAAAATTGGTCGATTGTGCAGATAGAAGTCCTCAAAAGAATATGTGCTACTAATGCTTTCTTCTTAAGTTATAATCATTTTACGAAATTTTTCAACCAATGACAGAATATTACTAGAAAAATTAAATAAAAGAATTTTAGTTCAAAGTTTTATCCGAAAATAAATGTCATGATCCATATCATATCCTGAATGTCTGAGCGAAAACGGCTAGTTTCTTCATAAGATACGGAATACTCAAGAAACATGGATTTTTGTGTGAGAACGAAGCACTTTTACTACTCTGTTATCTTGAGACAAAAGTAGCCAATTTCGTTCAAACATTCAAGATATGACAAAGACCATGACATATATTTTTGGATAAAATTTCCGAATAAAACTCTCGAATTTAGTTTTTCTTGTAATACCTTGCCATAGACTGAAAATTTAATAAAATGATTTTAATTCAGGGAGACAGCGCTAATGGCACAAATTCTTCTAGACCTGCTATCTAAAAAATACTTCCGATCAATTAACAACATATAAACTCGAACAGAGGGTATTTGTTGAAAGAATTTCCTCGACAGTAATATCTGCTACGTAAAAACTCCGTTTGATCTATTAATATATACACCCAATGACTTTTCTCTGGTTTCCATAATGCATGTTCATTATTGCACGCAACCACTTTCTACCAACCAAAATAAACATCACAGACACATCAAAGTTGCGTTCATACTTTCTTATTACTAAAAAATTTAAAAGGACTAAATCATTAAATACATATTATCTTTTTATTAAATAATATTTCATCTCAATTTTATTTAACTTGTTCTCAAGTAATAAAAACAAAAGAAAAAAAATTGAAAATTATTTCTCCAATAATTCCTCTCTTTTTTCCTGTTGTATTACATAAATAAATAAACAAACATCAAAAAAAAAAAAGAAGAATGCTCTAATTTTTCATCTATAGTTAACATAGAACACTCTTGTAATAAATTAATTACAATCGAATAGTATAAAGAAAGAAAAACGACAAGAGTATCAAGCTGTGTTTTTTTTAAATACAATCAAAAGCCGAAATGAACAAAAAAGGAAAGAATTCACTGGATATAAAAAGAAAATACATACATGAGTAAAAGAAAACTGAACAAAAAAGCTTTTTAGTTTTCTGTGCATGTTGAAAATAAAAATAAAAACCCTATACATGCTCAATAACGATCAGTTTGTGGCCTAGACAAAAAAAACAAGCAAGACAGTCAAATTTAAAATAGAAGAACAATTTTCTTCTTTTTTTTTCATCAATATTCTTACTTTGATTTAACTTTAACACGTTCGTCAAAAAATGAAACTGTTTTATCACTATTTGGTGAACCTGCTCGATTCAAAGTTGAATGTTGTTGTTCGACATTTATCGATCGAGCATAATCGGATGCACTACTCAATAGACTTGATTTTCGTCCACTAAAATCACCAGTACCACCACAAATAATATCATTATTATATTCCACACCAGGCACGGTACATGCATCTCTGAAACACGAACACAAGTGTCATCTATCTTGTGATTTCTTTATATAGGCAAACTTACTTAATCGAACCAGCTAATGCTTTCAGACTATCCATTGTTTTCGAAGATTTTTCACTGATCGTTATACTTTCAATATCAAAACTTTTACAATCACTAACTTCTGCTTGAACTTCCAGGCTAAAATAAAAGTAAAATTCAAAGTTCAAAAACAAAACTTGTTAGAGGCAATCTCTGCAGGACTAAAATGTGGAACACAATCATATACCTGCTGTTACTAGTCCTAGGAAGATTCTTTTATTCTATTTATTTTGGGACACGTTTCTTCATCATTCTTTTACATAACTCTTTAGAAATGAGATAAGAAAGTTGTTCATATATAATAACGAGACGTTATTGATATACGGTCTTGGATCATATATTACTGACTTCTGTAACGTTTCCATGATAATATCTGTCATGATCTATGAGAGGAGACTGGAGGTAGATGCAAAAGTAGAGTTTAGTGATTCTAAAAATGCTGGAACCAAGAACTGAACCAAAATTTCATTTTTTAAAATTCCTTGAACTGAAACTGTTAAATCATCAGACAGATACCAAAAATTTTTAAATCTATGATGAGAAATCTTCATTTCTTCATTTTTGAAATTAAGGATTTCAGCATATATGTATAATATTGTTTTGTTCAAGTACTAGAATATGTGGCCTCTTTAATCTCAATAATTCAATGGTGAAAATTTCTCAAAGTACATTTAAAATTTTGTTATCTATTTGATGAATATAGAGGTTTCAGTTCCACAGGATATTTTGGAAATTTAACTGGAACTGTGATTCCAATTCTACAAAGTTTTTTGAAAATGCTGAACTCTAGTCCCAACCTCTACTCTATATATTCCAACACTCCTGTTAGATTGTGTTTCTCACCAAAAGCTTATCGACACTGTCCATTTGAGCCTAAAATAATATGTTCTTTAGCCTCAGCATACCAATATAAAATACGTCGAGTGAAAAATTTCTAGCAGACTATAGTTGTTTTCCAAGGATAATCAGTCGCTAGAGAAACGATCTGTCTTATTTTTGCATGTCGAGTAGAAACTTTTTTTTTTCGTTTGATTTGTTGCTATTCGTTCGTTGGTTTTCATTTTCGTATTTCATTAATTCTTGTTTTAACATTATTAGGGTTCTAATCATTGATTTAATTGGCAAATAATCTTGACGTACATATCTATTATATCTATATTAGCTCTCGACGCACACTATTATATATTTCAATAATCACTGATATGGATTATTGCCTAAAGTTAATTACTTGATCAGTTCAAACTTTTAATGTAGATCATATGACGACTATGGCAAATCAATACATGACTACTCATTATCATTGACATCTGGAATATAAATATTAATCTGTGTAAAATTCAAAAACTGCGCTATTCGGAAAATCTACAAACATTTTTCAGCTATTCAATTATCAAAAACGGTTTTAAAACAATCTAAGCCTTATTGTTAATGCTGTTCAGAGATATTTTTTCCATTGCTAAGAAACTCTAGGAAAGGGATTCTAATGTTTGTTTTCTTCAATTTCTATGGAAACGTATCCAATAATCGTTGATCTTTAGTCCTCTTTTTCTTCGAAAAATATAATGTGAGTTTCGTAAAAGAACACCAGTGAATATAGTTCATTGTTAAAGAGCAGAAATTCATTCTTACCGATTTGATGGTGGTAAACTTTCACAAAGTGAAACAGCTCCTGTACCAGGTAATGCTTTTGTACTATCATTACTTCTATCATCAATAAGATGTACAACACTATTTGATAAACTAGTTGAATCGCCTCCTATTGTTGGATGTGTCATCACACTTTGATTATCTAAAAAAGAAAAAACAATTTAAAATTTTTTAATACAATATTTCTATATCTTTTTTTCGTTACCATTAAAAATCGTTCGCGCAATAGGTACGTCACGTAAAGAAAAAGGTAAAAAATTATCTAGATTAGGACTATCACCATCTGACAATTCATTTCGTGTACCAACACCACAACCACCTGTTCGACACAAAGATATTGGAATTACCTAAAATTCATATAAAAGAGTTTTTCTTTCATACATAAAAGAAAAGACAACTTACTCCATAAACATAAGCCAAAAGAATTGGTACACCAATTCCAACAGCAAGTGTAGCAACAATTGGGGATGCAACAACGCTACCCATAACGCCTAATGTAACGAGAATATTTCTTTTTGCTTTACTATAATGTGATTTATTAAATTTTTTAAATATTTTTCGACCAGTCCATACAGGTACACCAATAATAACACCTGGTACTGCAACACCAGCAATCAAAGCAATAATAACTGGTGCCCCAATTAATGTAGCAACTTGCCATAGAATAACTTTCTTTCTACTCCATTGTTTTTTACCCCAAAATGTACAACCCGATGGGCTAAAAAAATAAAAGATATTTAAGAAATGAAATTTTGTTTTTGTCTATAAACTAAATAAACAATTTTTACCTTAAATAATGCAAATCGGATATTTCTCGACCACATAACCAACAAAATTCAGCTTCACATATTGGACATGTCATATGATTCTAAAAATAATTAATTAAATAATTCTGTTTCTATTCTAAAGGATACTCTCAGTTAAAATCTTAAATCTACCACGTGCTTAGATTTCGCTGTAAATAGAATAAAAATTTAGGGCATGAAATTCTGCCCATATCTATTTTTTTTATTTTGTGCGGAATGCAAAAAAAAACATTTGTGGACTAAATAATCTTAGACGGTCTATGACCTTTGGATATTTTCGATAATAACTATGGCTACTACAATTTCTTTTGTTTTGCAAGCTCCATATGAAAATTACTTATGTAAATCGACGTAGTTATTCATGCTCTATAAATTGACATATCGATCATGAGTATGCAGCATCACAAAGGTAAAATCGTACCGTATGAACCTGCATAAAATAGTCAATGTGTCAATTTGTAGAACATGAAAAACTGTGTGGATCTACACTTAGTTTTCATAATGCCTTAATAGTAGAAAAATTACGCGTATCAAACAAAATGAATAGAAAGAAATGTGCAGAATTTTATGCTCTATTTTTTTATTCTATTGCAGATGAAATCAAAGTAGGTGATAGATTTATGATCTTATTCAGTAGTATCCTTTTGAACTTACACAAGAACCATCATCCATTTTAAGTATAGATGCTTGGCATCTTGGACATTGTTTTATTTCATCTTTTTGTTGGGCAGAAGCAAGACTTATAAAAGAACCTGATCGAATTTTTGTTGATATTTTTTCTCTTGCAGCATCTTCACATGTTTTATTTGGATGCCATATTGCTTTACAATGATAACAAAATGATGTATTACATCCCGGTCTAAGACATTGAATTTCTGGACATGATGCATAACCAGATGCAATAACTGCAAAACCACAATCAGGTGCTGGACACCATCGTGTATCAGCTATAGATTGTAAAACACGTCGTACCATAAATTGTTCATATTTTGATATAAGATCAGGATGTTTTTCTAATATACGTGATATATCACTTGGATGTATACGTTCTGGACAATCACTTTGTGGACAATTCAGTGTTACACGACCTTCTGTTATTTCTAATTTTAAATAACTTTTTAAACATGTTCGACAATATGAATGTGAACAAAGTGTTAAACGTTCAAAATCTTCTAATGGATATTCATGACAACATAAAATGCATGTTTCAATATTATTATTATTATCGTTTAATTGATTTGTTGTTGTTGAAGGTATTATATTAATAACATGTTCATTAGCTGATGCGGCAACTGATTCAATTAATTCATCTTTCATAAACGCTAATGATGATGTTATGGAACCATTATCATGTATTGATATAGTAGAAAAATTTTGTTGTTGTTGCTGCTGTTGCTTGGATGACTTTATATCACGTTGACGAGAAAAACGAACAGATGATGATGGACGACTAGTAGTAAAACGAAGAAGATTTAGAAAACGACGACGTACACTTTCATTGCCATTATTCGATGTACGAGTATTTAATGATCCTAAAATAAATAAGATTCGATAACAAAAAAAGAACGATTCTTTGTTTTTATACTTTGAGTTGTTGGTTGAGTAGATGTACTGTTCGCAGGTAACGAAAATGAATTTGAATTTATTTGATATGATGCTGTCGTTGTCACCGGCGATCGATCTTTTGTTGATACAGAGGATGAATCCGTAGTTGGAACTTGTTTTATTGAAGTACGTTGATTACGAGTTTTAGAAAACATTGTCGATGAAAAGAACTTTAAAAAAAAACAGGAAAAAAATTAGTACAAAAAATACCAACAATTTTTGTTATGTTGGCTTCTCTCATTGCGTCATCAATTTCAGTTTCACGGGATTTTTTTGAGAAATATCTACAGAACATTTTTGTTTTGAATCAAAATTAGCCATTGTTACATTCAAGAAAATAACAAACACGAACTTTTTCGCACCGAATTAGATAAGAAAAAATAAAAGCAAAAGTCCCCAAAATGACGCATATATATTCTGTTTCCTTTAGTAAATATGCTGATATGTAATGTTTTATCGTTATGCTCTAATTTTAATAGAAACAAAAAATAATTATAACTTACTTTACTGTTAAATTTTTATTCAACTAATATCATAATGAATAAAATAGAAGTAAGAAAATCTTCGTTTTTATTATGCGTAAAAGACAACGCATGTAAATAAATCTAAAAGATATACTTAAAAGAAAACATTGCATTTTGCCCACATTAATATAGGTGGGGTCAATATATATATAAAAAACATTATACGTAAGTCAAAATGTGAAACATTGACGTCTTTTTATTTTATGATTAATTTATAAATGACAAATGCATTCATTCCCTTCGTTTTTCATGAAGTATTGGGAGAAGAAAGTTATGATTTAGTCATTTTGTTTTTGAAGAACAGAATTGTTGTTGTTTATTTTATCAATGCATATAGCCAATCATTAGCATTTACATGTATGATTGGTAAGAAGAATTAAACCAATAAGAAAGAAAATTTCCCGAGAGACAAAGAAAAAGACTTGCACTGTTCTCTTAGTAGATTCTACTACTTCAGTTATGCATCTGATCGATAATTTCGATGAGTTTTACGCAATAATTTACATATTAAAAAAAATTCTAAATTTAATTCATAATAGAATGAGACACTTCTTACAAGAAGCACGTGTCTGCAAGCATATATTATAAATAGAAAAAATGTTTTGCTTGTACTGCGATCTATAATTTTCACTTAAGTTTTTTTTTTTTTTTTGCACAATGAAAGACTTTGCTGATGCTTCTAATTAGTTTATGATGATTATATATCTCATTCAGTTCTCCATTAAATCATGTAAAAATATTCTCAATTTATTCATTGTTTCAAGATGTCGCTGATGAGATGTGCATCTGTTCATCATTCTAACAACGAAACCATCTGACAGTATACCATCAATTGATTTTATTTCTAAAAAATTGAACGATGTTCGGCTGTTGTATACCTCGTGATCAATCAAAACAAACGAATAAAATGATTAATGAAGCATTAGAACGAGATAAAAAAGAAATGCACGTTGAATCCAAATTACTTTTACTTGGTAAATGGATAATTTTGTCCTTGTTTAATTTAATTTCGAGAACGGGAAATAAATATAATTTTTAGTAAAGAATTTCGATAGAAAATATGTTTTGCTTAAAAAAAAGATTTCTTTGCTTTTATTGAGTTTTTCATATTTTGTTTATTGATTTGATTTTATTATTTTAAGGTGCTGGAGAATCTGGAAAGAGTACAGTAGTAAAACAAATGAAGTGAGTGAAAATATATAAATCAAGGTGTTTGTTTTTTTCTTTCAAAGAAGATTTAATTGATTTTAGAATAATTTTTAATGAAAATGGTTATACGACAGACGAATGTCTTCGTTTTAAACCTGTCATTTTTTCTAATACAATTCAATCAATGTTAGCAATTTTACAAGCAATGAATCGATTACAGATATCGTTTGCAAATCCTATTCGACAGGTATGCGAAATATTTGGAAAGACAAATGAAACCTGATAAAGAAGATGAATCATCTTCGTTGTTTATTATCGTTGATAATATTGAAAAGAGAACTATATTTCTAAATTTCAACGAAACTTTTTAATTGGAATCTGATAGTCGTTCCAAAGATGCGACATACTTTTTATCGATTATTTGTATTCTGTTACTAACACATTCGACATATGTCTCACACAGTCTTGACAATGATTTTATAATAATAAAATCATAAGTGCTTGTCACTTTTATGATATGATCTGTTGAGTCTGAGACCAACCCAACAGACTCTAAATTGCGGATTAATTAAAAATAATTTCATGAAAACTTGAGAGAATTCTCAAAATTAAAAAGACATTCGATTGATTTTTTTACTTCATAACCCTACAAAATCGACCTATTTTCATAAAAATATATTGATTAATATTTTAATTGTTAAATTAATCAAGCGTCTTTGAATAATTGGAAAAAAACTGTTAGCGTAATCTTAGCAAAATAAAAATTTGCAACACGATGCAGTTGTTGTTACTAAGCATAAGTACATTGTTTTATTCTATCTATTTCAGGGACACACATCTCTTCAGTATTGTCTTACTTAATCCTTCATACATTCAACAAGGAAGTAGTACAGGGTGTTGCATAACCTTTTTCCAGGGGGGTAACACTATAATTTCAAATAGCGTAGATAACTATTTTTATACCAAATTAAAGCGCGTCAAAAACGGGATTTATTGATACTAAATAGTAAGAGTTAGCAAAATCTTTTAATGTAGAATTAATGAAACATACAGAAATTTTATGCTTCTTTTGGCATNTTTGTTCCAAGTGAGCAATTCTCAAAATTCATCTTCAGCGTCAAATAGAGGTCAAAAGTTGAGAAGGTGGTGTTGCATTTCTTTCCAACTTTAAAAATCGAGAAGACATCGTATCGAGCTAGATCTACGGCTACAGGATCTTGATCCAAAACGAGATTCATAGCTTCTTTCACGCTTCTCCAAACACACCTTTTAGGCTAGAACACGATCCATGTACATAGGAAAAATGATCCTAAGTTATTTGAGTGTATCGATGAAGCTATAGTGTTTACTGCTTTTATGGCTGACGGGGAAAAGAGCTAACTATTGATTATTATATTTGTGTACTCTTGTGTATGTATAATCTATTTATAAAAAAACTTTCAATATTCATCATGTTCAGTAGAGTAACTATATCAAATACTAACGGCAATTATTTTTGCACTCCACTGTATATTCATTTAAGGTGAACATATAATATGACTAGCGGAATTGAGATACAAAAAAATCTTCTATTACTACAATTCAGTCATACGCTCACCTCAATCATCATATTCTCTAGAAAGACAATCTTTTCCGTTTGTCTGTACTATCAATAGTAAATACTCATGAGCTTGATGCATCTTTTAGTGCAGGCAAAACAAATTTTGATATTCCTCTTTGATGATTTATTAAATTGATCCTTTGAAAACTGTACAAGCGAAAAATTCTTGCTCTTAATTATCTCTTTTGCTATGTGCTCATAGAATAAGTGTTTTTATTATTCAATTGTTCTTTTCACGATTGATAAATATTTTTGTCACTTGGAAAACTCTATTACTTTTGATCGATGATAAAAATAGAGCATAATTTAATTGAAGATATCTTATTCAAGTTAGTGCATTAATCAAGAGAAAACAAGTTAAACATTAACATAAAATAACAATTAAAAAAACAGAAGTTCGTATTAATAAAGTCCATGATTATGCCACATGTGAATAATTTTTCCTATTATTTAGTCGTAGAGCAGAAACAGACTATTAAGAAGGAAGCATTAATTGCTCGTCGAAGTTGCATTTCTTTGTATTTTCGATAAGATTTCAAGCGCAATAATCTTGATGAAAGGAAAAATGAGAAAAAAAGAAAATAATTTCACATTTTTTTTTAAACTTAATACAAGAAAATACAATAACAACATCATCGTCATCATCCTCAACAACGCACAATTACTAAATAAGTTTGGCTACTTTCCAACAAACAAGAATGCCAATTAACAAATAAAGAATTGCACCGGTTTTATGGAAGACAAATGGATAAAAGAAAAGAGAAAAAAACACAACAAAATAGACTAGAATAAATAACTATATGAATACAATTATCCATGCTTTTTTCCATATACAGCTCTCATTATTCGTAGACAGCCTCGAACCATTTTTGAAAACCAATATAAATTGATAACATCCAGCACAGTACATACAATTATAAGAACAAATCGAAAATGGCCCATATGTGACCATAATGGAGTTATTGCCACGGTGTAGACTTTCCACCAATAAATAGGCATTGCTAATATGCGAACAAAAAAGAAAACTAATGTCATCAAAAGGCCATTGAATACAAAGGCTTTTGATGTTTTGGAAAATTTCAATGTATCAAGAAACCATCTGAAAATAAATCATTGATTAAAAGAAAGAAAAGGAAAAATATAAAATAACTTTTTCTTACCTTATATTTACTAAAGGTGTCGATAATTCAGCGAGTAGTCGAAAATTAGCAAAATAGGGCATAACATTAAGTGTTAATACATGCACAAAAGCATACACAGAAACAAGATGATGAGCCATACTAAATGGATCACCAATTTTTTTGTAATGTATCATACTAATTGCCGTATCTAAAAACATAAATCAAGAAGATTTATTTAAGATAATTAATCTTTAAAAAATTTCTTCATTAAATCATCGGATACAAGAAACTCGTGTGAAAAACTATTATAAAAGATTGCATGTGATAAAAGTCGCAACAGATCTATTTTTCCATCAGTCTGGCTTATCTACCGCTGTCTGCATATTTTCGCACACTAATATTTAGAAAAGCTTAGCTTTTAAGTCAAGCGTGTTATCAATAAATTTGATGAACTTATTTGAAAAGAACATATCAAATTCCGCAATGTTACGATAATAAAAGTTACTCAACAATTCATCTAAGATAAAACAATAGCTGATTAAATAGTGCAAATAGTAACTTAGGAAGATGGATAAATAAACTACATAGGGCGAAATTGAGTGTCACTAGAACACCTACATCCCTATTCATACAACAATTTATCGATGTCTTTAAAAAATAATACTTCTCTTATTTATATTTTGAAACACTTACGATCAACGATAATACTAGCAAGTTCATATCTGAATGTACTCTTATCTTAGACTTTGACTTAAGCTATCTACATTAAAAGTTAATTGATTGAGAATGAAATAAGTAGATAAGCAATTAGTGTGTCAAATGTCTCTTCAAGATTATATTGACCTGCTGTTGCCTCAAAGTTTGATGTTAATGTTGATTTGACATTGAAAATACAATACAGCTTATTCCATTATTTGATATATTTTATTACAAAGTCTTACCGCTTAATAAATATCCAATGACAATTGATAAATTAGTTTTCAACAAATAACTTTTGTATCTATAAAGAAAAAAAAAGACATCATGTAAATCAAATGAAAATTTTTAATATTATTCTTACAAAAGTGGATTGGCTTCAAGTCCATGATCAGCAATCATCATATATATACAAATAATACCAACAGTAAATGAATTAATTGATGAATTAATCCTAAATAAATAACATTATTATTTAATGATTTCTAAAAAATGAAAATTTAACCTAGTACTCCAATCAATTTTTTGTGCAACAGTAAAATTTTTGTAATCTTTGATTAATAAATTTGATAAAATTGGATTAATAAATTTATAAAGAAAAAAAAATAAAGTAAAACTTGTAGCTACAACAGGTAAAAATGTTGGATCAAATTTGATATGAAGCATTTGTTCAAAATTATATGAAGAAAAATATGCTTTCGTCGTCATTGTTGATGTAGTCATTATGGTTTTTTCATTTTAATTAATTCTATTTTGCTGCATATTAGCTCTAAAAAAAAAAAAGAATGCAATCTTTAGAAAATTAGCTCTTGAAAATCTTTATTTTCAATGGATAAATACAAAGATAAGATAACATAGGATTTTACACTCGTTTACCTACAGTACAAAGTACTGATAAATAATTTTATTTTTCTTAACTCTCAAAAGGGATTTCATATTAGAACAAATATTTAATAAAACCACTGAAGCCAAGATGATGCTTATACTAATACGACACGTGGATGATTCATAGAAATCGTTGTTTATACCCAATGAGCTGTATAGAACTAACCAGATGTCGTTCTTATCATGTGCAAAATATCTCGTTTTTATTCACCCAATTTTGTTTTGCTAATAATCATCAATAAATATACAATGAAATTCCTCATAAACTTTCGTGCCTTAAACTAATGAGTAAGGAAAATAACGCTGTCCAGTGGAATAACTGGAATAGCAATTAATTACTCCAATTTTTGTAAGGGGCGACAGGTTACCCGCTTGAGTAGATTCCGCTACTTTTAGGAATCTATTCGTGTTGTAGCGACCTAGCCCCAATAAAAATTTAAATTGTATCTTTTTCTTTTTATTTATTATGCATACAAAAAAAAAGAAAACAAAGATTCGTAGAACAAAATGAAGATGAACAAAAAATAATTCTCATATCTCCTGAGCATCCACACATACACATACCAATTTCATTTGAATAAATAATACAAGAATACAAAATGTTTGAAAATACACACATGAAAAAAAGAAAGAATTTCATTATTGCAATTGACTTCAGAATGATCCATCTGAATAAGAATATTATTCTGTTTTAAAATAATATCTAATATTCAATTTTAAGATTAGATTGAAGTCTTTGTTTCATAATCAAGCATTTGATCAAGTTCACGATTGAGATCAGATAACATTGAATCAATATCAGATAAAACATTCGTTGTATCATGTCTACAAAATAATCAATAGAAAATTGATTAGAAAATTTTTAATTTAGTTCAACTTCATTCTTCAGAATAAACAGAGCATATTGTACTGTTTAAATACAAGTGTACGACATGTTCTCATTCCCAAAAGTGTATAGTATTAGAAATAAATATATCGAAC